TGAACCTGCATTCTTTCACAGTCACAGTTGGTGATATTTATGATCTCCATAATCAGTGGAACTCTGGCAGAGTTTTCCTTATTTTTTTATTCAGCTGAAGGACAACACTAAAACCACTAAAGCCTTTAGGCAGTTTCTATGCCCCTCTCAATGTACACGAAGAGTTAATGCATTCTGAAAGCCAAGAATATTGTTTAAACAAAGCAGATTTATTACACATGCTAACTGCATATCAATGGGATCTAATTTGTGGTCAAAACACACAATTTGCCATGAACACCTTCCTAAGGAAATGGATATATACACTTTCAGTGCAACATTAATGCCTGAAAGATTAGTATAGTTAGTAGTTACGGATGTCTGAAAATTACCTTAATACTTTTGGAAGCGCTTAAGAACACATTTCCGAAGAAGAAATAAAAACAATAACAATCAAAAGGCATGTAACTTAGTGGGCCAATACAAAGAACGCACTGTACTGACTTATTTATGTATTGTATAAGATTCTAGGTTCAAAGGCCTACACTTTTATGTTGGTTTTATTTACATGTGACATTTTTTCCAAGTGATACAGGGAAATGGATACCATATGTTTCCCAGCTGTTTTGTTCTGACAGGAACTATTAAGCACTCAGTATGGAAATGAATTCTGTCTGATTTTTATGAAAACACTGCTTTCAACACAGGGGTCTAGACAGAGGAAAAGGTTTTGTTTGTCGTCACTTTACTTAAGCTTACATTTATTTTGTTGCTTGGCTTTCTCCATTTTCTAGCCTTAATAACACACATTTACATAAACCACTGATAATAAAATTGTAAAATCGGACACTCTGAAGAAGCAACAACCTTTGTTACAAATCTGGCTTGGATCATTGTATTCCTCTTTGCTTTCATTATAGTTAGAGCGGAGCAAGGTACTTGCATGTTTTCACTGTTTTAATTTCCAACATCTCTTTACAAACACTGTTTATCCAGAAAACAAACCAAGAACATTTAGCAATGTATTTTACTGGCTTAAGAACTTCTTCACTTAACTGGGATGATGAATTTACATTGCATTTAATAAAGGATTAGAATATAGCATTTAACCATGCAGCAGCACGGAAGTAAGTCAGTCAAACTGGTAGACACAATCCTTTGTGCTATTTTCTACTCGGGTGTTGTACAGGCTGCATCAGTGCTTAGGCAATTACGGCATGGTTTCCCCGTACACAACACTGAAACCACAGGCCAGAGTGGACCAAGGCATGGCTTGAATCTCTTCTGTTCTGTTTTCAAATGCTTGTTCCCTGAAGAAGCAAAAGCAAGCACTCCTATGTCCTCCAACAGCACAGCAGAGCTATCTGAGTAGTCGTCAACAGCTGCTTCACAGGAAAAGCCTCTTGCTTATCTCTACATACTTATGAAATCAGGCAGGGGCCATCAAAAGTCTGGGTCAAATAAATACTGTTTGATTCTTTTATAAACAATAGTAAAGGATGGTCTGAGCTTAAGGCAGCGGACTAGAATGCGGAGCAGCTAACTTGATTCCAGAATCAAACAAATAACTCTGGTATAATCTTGGATAAGCCATATCTCTTCTGTGCACCAGCATCTTGAATGTAAAAAGGAGACCACAAATTTTTTTTCAACTAGGCTGTCAAAATGATTTCTTTAACTTTTTCACTAATATGAGAGATTTGGACAATCCCATCGTTGTATTGCTGAAGTAAAAATAGAGAGGAACACAAAAATGGGGAGACTTCATTCGCATCAGTAAAGAAGCGCCATGCTGTTTGAGAGACCTGAGATGCCAAAGCATTTCCTTGGCACTAAAGAAAACACTATCTGATGAAAATCTGCATGGGTCAAATTTGCAAAAGTATTTCTTCATCATATATTGTGCTCTGTGCTCTTCTTGAGGAAGAGAAGATGCAAAATGTGAATAAAGAGGTCTGTAGGCTTGTTTATAGTTTCACTTCTTTGTTAATTTATAGATTTCCTAGAACAACTAAGGGCCAATTATCAGAAAAGGAGACAATAAGGAAGCAACTTCTCTTGTAATTTAATCACTTCTTCAGATTTTATTTTAAGAATCAAAATTTACCTTGAACTTTCTAAAAAAGATCCTTATAACATGTTTCCAATTGGAAGCATGTGTACACTTCAGAGTATTTTTCAACATCCTCTGTATCTAGGGCATGGGGAGGTGGGAAGGGGGACTTTTATCCAGTATATGAGCATCTGTAGAATTATAGGGTAACGACATGAGTTTTGTCCAACCATCAAGACTACCTCATGCATGGATGAAACTGCATCAGAATGCCTTTAAATTGACCTGAGTATAATGAAAATAACAAAGAACTCAGCTTTTACTTCAGTTCTATAAGGAAACTACTACTGAAATTCATTGTTGGTATGCATGCAAGAGCCTGTCTTCCTGGCATACGGGTACTGTAACATTCTTTAAATGATGATGGCTTCATGAAGTTTACAGCACTGGTGACACAAAAAGGAGGTGGCAAAAGGTTGTGTATCACACATTAGCACCATTACAAAACAAACTGAACATACTGCAGAGTGGTACTTGTTGCTATGCCAGATTTTAATGAACCCTGAATTACTGACATTTAAAGAGCACTGACTGACTGAGGAAATAGTCAAAACTCCTAACAGTGTGTTTCTGTCATCATCACCATGGACTCATTTAGGTTTACACTTTGACCCATGTTCCGTAGTCATGAATGCTGCTGTTGAACAGCTGGGACATGCAACAGGCAGCGGTGCAGGCAAGCAGGAAAATGAACGTAAAGATCTGAGTCATTTGCATATCAGTTGGCAATTGAGTCCATGTTGCTCTACTAGGTGACTTGACATCTACATGCCGGTTTAACAAGAATGAAAAAGTATCAGTTCACTACTGTTTTCCACAGGTGGCAACCAGTGATCATTATTGCTATGATACATCTCTCAATTAAATCCTTGAACCTTCTCAGCTTGCCATCACTGTTCCTTCTCAGGATGGAGAGCAGTATCTTATAGTCAACTGTGTTGAAGTCACTGTTCAAGAGAAAAACTGGATAACTTCCTTTTATCCAAACAGTTATCAGTCAACAATGCCATTAATGATTCCGCCTAAGAACCTGGCTTGTATCCAGACATTGCTAACTCTGTCTGTATTTCAACTTTTGTTTTCTATGAACTCCATACCGGTGCCATCACAAACCGCAGTAAAACTGTGAATAATGGAACATGCTACTTGGGCCCTGGAGCTGATAGTCCTGGACTATGGTCAGACTATCTGCTGATCTTATCATGCCAAACAGATCTTTCAATGGTCTATGAACCCCTGACGTTGAATAACAGTTATTTCTTGCTGACAAAGAAGTGGGAGCACTATGGTTGCTTCCCTAATAACACTTGCCCGAAGTAACTCGGTTGCAATGTTCTTTATTGCAGCAAACATTTGGCGAATAGGCCCTTGAGCAATCTGGTGTAACTGGAACCGCGCTGAGCACAGGGAGATGGACAAGATGGCCTTCAGAGATGCCTTCTGACTTAAGTCATGATATGATGAAAATGTAATCACCCTGAAAGAATGACGCCTGCCTGGAGGCAGTAGCAGAACTGGAAACAAAGTGCAAAACTGACAAAGAGACAAGAAAGAAAAAAGCCCGCTGTCTGGGGACTTTTACCTCAAGACTTTGTCAGCATGTACTTGGAAACTCCCAGTACACAATACTGGGAGGTATTCTCTGGTCTTGCTGTCAACACAACTGGAAGCTTCTTTATCATGTAGGCTTCAATTATTTACTCTCTAAAAAGGGTAAAGAGGAGGACCTTGGGAACTACTGACCAGTCAGCCACACCTCTGTGGCTAGGAAGATCATGGAACAG